ATGTAAAAGATAAAACTTGGTAAAGATTAAGTTGAGAACATAATTCGTTTATATATGTCGTTCTGACTTCTTATGTATTAACTGACCAGATATCTTTCCTTCTAATTATTAAAATTTTTAATAAGCTTAGCGTAATGTGATTTTTATTGCAACTTGATAATAATGACCTATGTACCACGATAATAAAAATAACTACCAATGGGTTTGTACGTAGTTACATGTTAAAAGAGAGCTATGCTTATAAAACAATAGTTTTATTAATCCATATGACTTAAATCAAGCTGTTAGTTTATATATATATTTTTCTTTTAAGGCCGATCATTAAGTTCTGATGTTATTAAGCCACAAACAAAAAGCAAGATAATTGTACTGACCCTTTTACGCCTGATTAAGTCTGCTTGATACAGAAATTCCATTTAAGCAAAGAGTATGTTTAAATTAAGTACAGCTGTTTTTTTAAGGATTGTAACAAGATAAATAATTATATCACAATTTTAATAGATGAGATCATGAGTGAAATGAAGCTAGACCACCATGGAAAACCTAGAAACACTGGACGGCCGTTTCGTATAACTGTCCTGCCGTTCACTCCTTCCAGATTTTCCATGATGGTCTAGCCTCAATTGATTCATGATCGCATCTGATAACATTACTATAATATCCACAAAACCCCTTCTGAAAGTATATCATATCTGGACTTAAATGGAGATTTTATTAGTTAACTTTAAATAACTTAGAATTCTATGGGGAACTAATAGGAAAAAGGATTAAAAGAGTTGAAATAGCAACTTAATATTAATTATTTCAAGAAACGTAAAAACCAAACAAGAAGGGTAAAACATAGTGGTCTAGCTTCAATTGACTCATGATTTCAACCTGTGAAATTTCTTAAAAATCTCAATAAAACCCATTCTGACATAATGAGCGCCTTATCAAATGTATTACTATCATTATTATGCAATTCTTTACAGAATATAACTATGCCAAATCGTTTTCAGTCTACAAGTATTTGTATTATTTTGATGTATATAGTAAAATGATAGATCATATGAATTAGACTGAAAAATTCTAATTTTAGTTAGTGATTTTCTGCAGCAATTTGGATAAATCTCCCAGTCTCCCACATTGTACGAGCATTCCATCTACCTAAATTAATGGTTGATCTAGTTGTCAGCAGCAGCGTCAGCCTCGTGAATTCCGAAGGAAATCGGCTTTCACCATAAGGCGTTATAACTCCCCTACATGAAGACCCTCTAATTCCCAGGGCAGAGTTTAAATGAAGCCATATGTCATATTATTCTACATCAATATTCATTCTGGCCTTATTTAAATTCATAAAGGGAACTAATTGCATGAAATTTTTGAAGAGTTAAAATGGTTCGAATTATTTCTTCTGGTTAGCATTTTTTAGCGAGTTGGTTTTCTACGGGAGGGGGTCATTAGCCCCATGCCCAACCCTCCTCCTTTATTCGGGCTTGGGACCGGGAGTAGCCCTAGAGGGGCCCCAGGCGGAGTTTTTAGTTAGTCATTACCAAACTAAAACTTATCACGAATGGGCATCAGTTCAAACTTCGATGTCTCGCATTAGTACAACGCGGGGGGGGGGCAACAAGATGAGAGACACAAGAAATTTGGTATCGAAAACAATTAAAGTCCATATGTGAAAAATATAGTTTAAAACAAACAAATGAGACTAGAGAACCAAGCTATTAATGAAGAAAGTTAATATTTAAAATAAAATAGACAGTAAATGATACTAAACTATTATGACTAATTTTCTGCTATTACCAAATGTCTATACCCACTAATTATGATCATTAAGAAAGGCCGAACCAGTAAGTCTATACTCTCCGGAATGGTTGAGACCAGTAGTCAATGATTTTATGGACTGATGCCATATCCTGTTATTTAATTCAGTTCACAAAATCTGATACGACTGGGTAAAATATGTAGTAAGTATCAAACAAAATATTTTTGTGGTGACTCGAATAATTTTGGCAAAAACTGAAGCAGGTGATTTTCTTAAACGGCCATCCCTCGAGCTTCTAAACTAAAAACCCAATCCATAAGGGAGTAGATTAGCGTTGAGAAATGGTGTCCTAAGGTAGACATCAACTCTGGGATGAAGGTACATTCGGTTGACAAGTCCCAAGTAGGACGAAACGCGCGTCCTGGATTCCACTGCCGTTCACTATCTATCTTTGCTTATAAGATTAAGGTGAGCCTTTTGGATCCGTGTCAAGTTTTCGTCAAACTGGTGAAGCAATTGGCAAACTAAATTAATTCACTTTCTGCGGTCGATTCACGTGACAACCCAAACAAATCTTGAAATAACTTTTTTGAGCGGTAGGGAGAGGGACACATTCTAATGACACTCGAATTGTTGGTTCACGTGACCGAAAGATTGCGTTTTGTTAGGATCTTCACTAAACGAAACTATTTCTGAAACCTTGGAGTTATCAGAGAGGTCAAAAGTTAAGTGCATGCCATTAGCCAAGACTTGGTCAATATAATGTCGTTCGTTGTTCATTTGGTCGGCAACTGACCTGAATTGGACTGGACACCACTGAAAAAACCTACGCCAACCTCCTCACTGAGTGGAAGTTTGGCTTTTTGGGTTCAGCCGCAGTAATTCAGATAAGGGTACATCAATTTCATTGAAGTATCCTACGTCAAGAAGTAAGTCTCCTGATAGGTGATTAGTCTTTGAGAATTCAGATGAGAAAAGTTATCTGTGAAAGAATTTCTATGACTAAATGAAACAGAAATCAGATATCTCTAGACTGGTGGAGTTGAATGCCGCCATGAGGTCAAGAGATTCCACTATAATCGGGCGTCGGTAAGAATGTCTACATTGGAAAACCTGTTATCTGTAACTAATAGATAGTAAAGCAACTTCTGTTTAAGTGTACAGAGAATATACACCTCATGTTTAACAACGGGATCTGCAAACAAATAAATAAAGTAGCAATCGGATTTCTCCTGGGTTCAATTTCTGATATTTTTATGGCCACACTGAAACTCGGACTATTACATGATACCCTTAATAAGTTGGAATACTACTACTATTACGTAGACGATATACTAATTATCTACGGAAAATCAATTAACCAACAAGAACCGTTAGGAACAGTAAAAAAACGCACATCCACGGACTATTTTCGTATGTGAAGAAGAATACATCATCCTTGGCGCTGGATGGTTTACTAATAAATATGTTTTGAAAAAAAAACTCGAACCGAACAATATATCCACTGCCATAGCTTCACATCCCTCCAACATCAATTTATTCCAACTAAACAACTGTCACAGAACCCAACGACTATAATCTGAGGATAATATAGGAGAATTAAACAAACTAAGGACGTTACTACAAAATGGATACCGCAGTAAGTTCATCAAGAAACACGTAACTTAACCTGAAGGCAAGATGCAGTGCCCCCAAATGCCCTGGTATGGCCGAGAGTAGGCAGAGTCCGCTCTCCCTCTCAAAATGCTCTCACATGGCCACGCGTATATAGCTGCTGACAGGAGAGTCCTACTCACTGCCTTCCCGCACCAAGGGTGTTGTTTACGAAAATGAGAGGACTAAAAGCAAATGTCCGGCGCTTTAACAGGATCTTAAACCAATGGTGCACATGGGCTCCAGTATCCTGAAGGAACAAATGGCGTATGAACCAGTGGTTGGTCACCAGCTACCATGAGACTGCATCTCCCTACGTTGCTCCACTGCCTTGCGGATCAGACCTTCAGGTCGAAGGGGATTGTCCCCCTAAGAAAACCACCTGCTTCAGTTTGGGCACCCGGGCAGTATCACAGCCCCCACACATACCGAATGAGATGTGTGGCGCATACGTATTTAGTGCCTCCTTGTACTAATATCTATGTGTTAAAATAAAAAAATAATAATAATAATAATTTCCACAGATGAAAAGAAAACTGTAAACCTAAGACTCGGTTCGAAAGGTGATATATCGAGTGAGATTCTAACACGTCGAATGATCAGATTCATTAAAACGACTCTGGATGTCGATAAACTACACATAACTTCCTCAAGGAAGCTAATACTGATACATTAAATTAAGGATAGGATACCGACGATAGGCTTAACTATATGTGTTTATCAGTTCAACTGCTCATGTGGAGCCAGTTACATAGCCCGTACTCAAAAGTCTTCATCCTTACGCGCTTGCAAACACGTACCTGAATGATAAAGAAAAGGTCTCACTAAATGTATTAACAATGTTATTCTTTCCCACTTACTCGACCAAGGACAACACTCAAGTTGAAGATGGCTACTCAGTCATATATCAAGTCTCTAGTAATCTAACAATATGCAAAATCACACTTACCACATATTGCTGAAGCATTTGGTAGCAATCCAAATAAACATACGTCTGCGAAAAAGTTACACAAAACCTGTCTGTTTAGCTTGGCCCACATTAGGGTCGTATGATCATTGGTTTTGACTGTATCCTCTCTTCATCGGATTTGTAAGTGCAGAGACCGATAAGTTATTGAAAATGATCGTTAGCCTAAGATTAGTTAGTGATTTATATAAGACGTATCTAGACTTTACCTAAAAAGTCAGCACATGGTTATAAATAAGCAAGATTTATGCTTACGAATATCACATAAATGGGTTTTGAAATTCCATGGATACTCGACTTTCTGTCATTCAGTTTATGGTGTGACGTACGATGAAATCAGCTTGCCGAAATGAAGATGGAAGCTGCTATATCAAGAGGCCTAATATGATGAAAATATTTGATGAACAGCAATGCCACTTAACTCCAGAAAGTATACCATAAATCTTAAAAATGTCAGTACATACATATACGTAGTACAGTGTATTAGCGCCTTATTCGGTCCCTATAAGAACACCTTTTGACTAAATAGGCTGATTATTTGGCTTATTAAATGTTAGTAATAACTGCTTATTTTGGAAACGAATAGCAAATCAAATATATCAAAAACTAAATGTTCGTACATGAACTTACTTTGTCATTATATCCCTGATTAATCCCCAGATATAAGGAATGTGGCTTGTGTTTTGAAGTGGACCATGACGTGGATTTCACAGAATCTTCTAAACTAAGACCTCGAATGAGAGGAGGGATGTATCCTGGAGGAATAGTCGAAGTGTTTTTAACATTAGCTCGCAAATCATAACTGCAAACATTCTTGTCAGGAGTAAGGAAATCCATGTCTAGAAATAAGTACGGTCTATATACTAGAGGATATGAGTAATAAGTACTCCAGAGTCAGTAGCAAATTGACTCCAAAGTACTAAAATCTCACTACTCCTCACCTTCACGATATATATATTATAGGATAGTAAAACAACGTCCAATCCTCAATACCTGTAAGACAAGTTTGTATGCTTGCTTCGTGTTGTTTTTGTACAGTGTAGGGTCTTTGTAAAATTCTAGCGGATGACGGTTTTCCTATTTTACTGCACGGTTATAATCAGTGTTGTAATCATTTTTTTTAATATTTTTGTATTCTGAGTGAATGGATTTGTTCCGGGTTATATACGTTTCTTGATACCACCAGCTATTAAATCATCAGATAGGAGGTTGATTGGTTACAATATGATAAATAAAAAAGAAAAATTTAAATTCCAAGAGAGAACGACTTCCAAGAAATAAAAACAAGCAAGTTATTTGATGGGCAATGCAGGTTGTGGGGAGATCGAAACGTGAAAACAAAACAGGAAACGAAGTTATTGATATCAAAGACACCTTGAACTTAATTCTGTGCGTTAGTGATAACAAAATTAAATTACGAGACGTCCATCAAACATAGATGGTCTAAACACCAGATGGAAATCTATGGGGTGTAAACATATTTATGAAGTTGCCTCTTGTAGCTATCCGTTGTGGGCGCTGAGTTCTTATCGTCTTTTGAAGCATCCCAAGTTGGGAATACTGTTGTTGCCAAAAGTAAGAACGTACCCACTTTTCGACCTCCTACACAGATTTATTGTAGTTACCTAGCTCCCAAGCTCTCTTTAGTTAAAAGTGCAATGTAAATTGAAATACCTTTGTTGCTTTGAATAATATGTCATCGAACTAATTATGCTATACTGATGATGAGCTTGCACAAATCGGAAGGTTTCTCAGTACTCGCTCCCAACTGCGCTGTCGCCAAAGCAGGGTGACTTATTAAAATACAGTTCTAAATTTCTTTAAAAACGTAAATATACATTATTAATTTAAGAAATATTACCACACAGTTATTTAACTTGTAATTGTTCAATCAGTAGTCAAGTCTAAATTACACTAAACAGACATGTTGATGAACGATGTAAGACAATCATCACGTGCAGCGAATAAGCGTTATTCTATTCTATCATTTCCTGATAAATCGAGTTATTCAGATTTTATACTATATCTTGTTTCGTCAATTAACATTTTACTCTTTCTCAAACCATGGACCATCGCCGAAGATCTTTTCTTCCGATAGGTGCCTGCCTAATTTTCATTTTCTGGGTTCAACTGTCAAACAACGAAGACGATGTCTCAGAAACTTACGCTGAGTTTAAGCCGTAAAATGTCTGCGATCTTAAGCTCATTTAGATGGTTCGTACGTCGATAACCACGTATTTATCTGGACTCTTGTATTTGTTATGAATCAACCGAGTGACAAAAAGTCAACAACATTAAGCACTCTGGAATTAGTTGCAACATTATGTGTTTAATCTGGGTCCTATTCAATCTATACTATGTCACAACGAGCTTTAATTATGTCAAATCTGTTGAATGATTCAAATTCTAAAATTAATCTAGGCGAGTTTTATTAGTTCTCGTAAACGTGTATATATTTTCATCTAGACTAGTCGTATATACTTCGTATGAACCACTTTTAGGACCGTTTTTGGCATAAGATATACTTAGTAGCCCTATATGACAACATACTACTATGAGGAAGTGTATCATTCTCAGGAAAACCATATTATACTGAACGGGAGTTTAGAACTTTATCACTTTTCATTAAACTGTCATATTCGCCATTTCTGTGCGTATTTGAGTTTATGGATAGAACTACCATATCAGTTACCTAGAAAGACGACGAACATAATTCGCTAAATTTAGGTACTATCGTAATTCACTGATTATTGATCAAATTATCACGTAGTTGTTAGTCAAACAAGCATTTGAAATCAAAACTTTGAAGCCTACTATTAAAATTAACACTAAGTGAACAAATATTTCTGGATCGCAAATTATAATATAATCCGGCAGCTTAGATCCGGTGGTGCTACAAATTTTTGCTATTTCAGAACTACCGAAAAGAACAATACTTATTTCCCACTGGCTAATACTCAGTCAACAATATAACTAGCTATTCATAATGATTTCCGAGTAACATCATTAAACATCATGACTTGACAGTCACGTAATATGATTGATGAAACTATTCACAAACTCGGTCAACAAGTTGACTCGTAATTAATATTGAATAGTGTTGTTTTCTCGTAATCTCATACACTTACAGATGATTTTAGTATGTCCTGATTATTCTACCGGGCTAAATCAAGATTCAGAAGTTCAAGAGTATCCCTTACTTCTGTCTGAAGATCTACTTACCAAGCTGAACGACGGTAGGTTTTTCTGAAGTTGAGCTTGTTAGAAGTCACTTTAAAAATTTCGGTGATCTATAAGGGTAAATATTTTCTCACTTTCCATACACACGAGGGTTTATTACGATATATCCGACTGCCCTACAGACCTTAGACTACGACCTTCATATTCCAGTAAACTACGGCGATCACTTTGCAAGAGATTACAGGGGTGGCAGCTTATTTAGATGATACCACAACCATGAGAATAAGCAGAGCATACTTGCAAAAGGGGTTGATCAGGCTCTACCACTCGTATCTAAACGTGGCATTCGTATTGACGACGAAAAGTTTGACATTAATATAACGCGAGTATGATAACTCGGCTTCACAGTTGATAACGGCTGGTGGCAACCAGACCCATAAAATACTAAAGCAACGAAAACAATTCCTAGGTCAAGGGGTAGTCTTACTCTACCAACGTTTTTGGGACTGGTTAGCTATCACGAACAGTTATTTCTAATATACATTTTGTTTGTGCTTCAGTGGACTATTTATAGGTGGGAATTCAAAATGGTATTGGTTCACGGACTATGAAGCAGCTCTCTAGAAAACAAAACATCTCCCGGACTCTAATCTTGAACTTATGCATTACGACCCTCATTGATCTACTGTCACTGTTTCAGATGCGTAGGGAGATAACTTCAATCCACCCATGTCTGTAAAACAGAACATGTTGTTGAATTATAGCTCCTTATCATCAAATGGGATGTCACAAACCAATATTATCGATGCTCACTTAGCATGCAACTTACCTCTTTAAATAGCATTTGCGACGTTGATTCGGTTTCACTTCCTACCAAGTAATCCTAGTGAAACTAAAACTAAACAGTTGACTAAAAACGAAGCCAACTCATGACCCTATAAAATCGATAAAAATCAGAATGAGCTGAAGTAGCCTCGATAGAAGAGGTGGTAACCATTCGTGTATCAGAATACAGTTTTCAGTATTATATTCTAAAAATATACAGAGTCCTATACTTTCAGCTTTTCGAATCATCTCCATTTATGCAGTTCATCGTCCATTCACACCATATTTACGTTTGTTTACTTTAACCTATAAGAATGCTCTTGCTTGAAAAGTATCTTAATAAAAGATAATTAGACTAAGTAGTCATACCTTAACTGTTCCATTACATTGTCTGCTCTGCTTCTCATCCTTCCTCTCTCTTACCATCATTTTCAGCCCTTTTGAGATATGACACCGAAAACACATTTGAGATGGATGACTTTGTTTTGCCTAATTTTTAATGCCCCAGAAGTTGCAGAGGGATATAAGGTTGTGGTTTCTAGAAGCTCTCAAATTTACGTGGATTTACCACCAGCTGCACTTTGCAACGTAACCTCCATAAAGCGCACCAACTGTCATATTGGCAATGCGAGTCTTATCAATATTACTTACATTCATTTGTGAGAAGTGTCATTCCCCATAATTCTATCAACAATGTACCTTATAAAATTTCATCCTAATTGAGTAACCCATTACAGTGGCGACCGTATCTTCTGTAACAATTTGATCTTGCCTGTAAACTGGCATGCCTGACGTAACAGAATAAATTATTATTGAGATTTTATTGGGGCAGCCATCACTGTTATCTTTCCTGATGTGTCTGAAGAAACGATCTCACACACAGCCAGAAAGTTGAAAACGACGAAATGCGATAGCAGCCAAATAGTGAAAGAAGCTATGGCAATCATTTGAGCCGTAAAAATGTTCCACAAGATGATATTTGAACAACAGTTTCTTTATTGAACATATTATAAATCACTATTGACAGTGTTTTGGTGAAAAAGGGATCCCCTTTCACACGGTTCTCCGGTTAAAACGACGGGCAACAACACTTCTCCGTTAAAATTTTGAAATCAAGTACAGCTCTGGGACAAGTAGATGGCTTATTGACATTGATGGGTTTTCAGACAAAATTGTCAGAAGACACTCTCAAATGCCAAACCAAAGACAAATCAAAATGTCCCAAAGCAATGATATAGGCAAACAAATTCAGTTCAGTGGAACGAATACATCCAAAAACACAGTGAAATAATTAACATTTAATATAAAGGTTTTAATCAGCCAAATGTCTTCAGTTCTCCTATAACAATCCCCCTGGAGCAAATGAAATAAAGTCGTTGGCTGGAAATTATGCTCATCGACTTTTAATGGACAGAGATGTCAAAGAATGATGCCATTAATGTTCGTCCTGCCTACAAAGTGGTAAAAACCCTTCGGAATGTGGACACAGCAGTATCCTATCTTGCTAGATTCTGAGAAAGACTATATAGAATTATGGTCTAGTTTGGTACTAGTATATTTATATTCGTCACTATAGTGATAGATCTAATCCCAAACTTGTAGATGTGTCATTATATGACCACTTAATATGTAAGATCTTACGTCGGAGTCACAGTATTGTATATTCTGACTTGTTGTGTCGTGACAGTGAACAATGCGATATTTAGCATCTCTGAAAAAGATATCTAGGCTGAGAATAGAATAGTTCATTTAACTTGAGTAGGGATTAGTTATACAGAATGATGAAGCCTGTAAGCCAAAGCCATGCCATACCGATCAATTGTCCTCACGTT